TTTCGTATGCCATTCCTTCGGTCTGGCATACTTGGCAACAAAACTTTCATTTCATCTTCGTTATCATCACCATCATCGACTTCATCGTATTTCATCTTGCAATGTGTTGGCTTGTGTAAGCGCTGCTAAAGTCCGCGAGTGCAGAAGACACTTTTCTAAGTGTGTGTGGACGTTGTCTGGGTGGACAAGAGCGCACAGTGGCGCAACGGGCCGGGCGTGATGACCGTTTGGCAGAGCGGGGCGGGCGTCCACAAAGGGGGTAGTCAAGTTATCACGCTGACGGTTCCGGGCGTGGACAGTGTTGACGGGCAGAGAGCGGGGCTGCAGACAACGGGAGGGGCGCGCGATCGGTTGATGGGAACATTGCAGATAAGGGACGGGTGCGATATTCGGTTTACGGGCAGCTGTGGACAGGGGCGGAGGGTGCCAGATCGGTTGCTGTAGCCTGCAGACAGGCACGGGCGCGATAGTAGGCTGACGGGCGGGCATGAACAAATGGTCGTTGACCGAGAGGCAGTGGAAAAGGGGACCGGCGGCGAGCGGGTGTATAATGTAACGAGTGTCCCTTGCTGCAGTTTTCTGGTTTCTGGCTTGACCTTTCATTGAGGTTACCGTCTCAAAGCAAGCTGCTGGAGAAGGTCTCATCACACTTCACATCCTTGATGTCTGTGCTGTTGCCGATGCCATTGCAGGCCTCCCCAGTCGTGCACGCAGCAGGCTGCCAGATCAGGATTGTAACCTGCTCGGGGAGTGGCAGTCGCAGTTCCATCCGATTCTGGTCAGGTGGTGCTTGAACTAACATCTCTGAGTGAAGCCAGGTATTTCTTGGAGGGAGTGCTTTCCAGTTCGCTGGTCTTGTAAAGTAGTTTGTGCATGTGATCACGCGGACGTCCTTCGCCCACAATTCACTACGTTCAACTGCTTCGCTGCGTCGCGTTTCGGATGGAGGTGCAGTTGAGAAATTCGTGCAACCGGCCAGTTGTTTAAGTAAATGCCCTCTGCAGAAGCAGAAGCCACTCAGAACAGTGCCTAGAGCACCTGCCGAAAGAAGTGCGCATGGGCATGAAGTCAGTTGCTGGGGTCTTGTGCTGCATCTGTCAACAGTCAGTGCTCTTCCCGCCGACACTCTGGACGTAACGGCATCGGCTTTGAGCTCAAATCTGGCGTCTTTTTCTTCAACATCTGTCAAAGCTGTGAACATACTTTCAAGAAAGCTTCCGATACTTGAGGCAAAGAGGCAAAGAAGATAAAGAAGGCAGCACACAACAGCTTCAAGTTTTGCTTTCTGCACGCACCCTTGCGCGAAGCAATCCCTGATCACTTTTAAAAACTGGACCACATGTGGCGGCTACGCTGCCAGTCTTGGAGTGCAGATCAATGGGGGTCAGTCGCAGCCTTTGACGAGATATCAGAGATGGCAAACACCAAGTCGCCATGCCCTTCTATGAAGATTTTGCTTGAGGCCACTCCATGGACAGAGAGCAGGCAGTGGGCAAAACCAGCATCTTTTGTTTTTACTGCAGACTGCACACACCTTCCGGCACTTGGATTAAAGACCGTTCAGGTTGACGAGGCTGGACAATCTGTCGGGTGTTAAAGCTCAGAGGGTGGCTTCGCAGGCGCACCAAGAAGCAAGCTGCCCTTCTGCGGCAGGTGCTCACGCAGTTTGAGGCCACCACAGCCTCGATCAAAGGAATTGAGTCAAAGATGTCAAAGGCACGGGCAATGGTGCAGCATAGGGCCCATGGCATGCTGCGGCGATGGACAGGTCAACCATTACATGGAGGCAGTGCAGGCAAGGCAAGCCTGGTATTGCTGTGAAGACTTTGCGGTGCAGTATACTGGGAAGGCTCAACGCCGCAACCTGAGCGCCCACGCCGAGGTCCGACGCAGCATATCATATTAGCGCAGATGCCTTCGTATCCCTCAGACAAGCCTCGTCGTTTCTTGTCAGGTCACTAGCAACCTCATAGATGGCCTGGGTGCATCCATTGCGGATCAAAGTGAAGCTATTTTCGACTACTTCACATCCAGCTTCGACTATTTCGCCGGACACCAGTCCAAGATTGTCATGTTTATTGTCATGCCTCGGAGCTAGGATCAAGCCACAGCCGCTTCCCGCAAGGACTGGTGGAGACGCTGGAGACTTCGCTTTTCAACTTGAAGCTCCAGGACTGATCTGATCTGAACATCGGAGACATGTGCTGACTTCAGTGACTTCTCCCCCTTCAGGATGCGCCGCGGCAGATGCAACAAGAGTGCGGGCCAATGTTTTTCCCGGAAGCATAGGTCATCTTAGGCAAGTTAGGAGACCAGCCTGCATCAGCCTGCGAGAGCGTCACAATGATCGTCTTGGTCTAGCGGGGAGATGGGACGCACGTGAGTAGAAAGGTATGGACCCCTGACAAAGTTTACAACAGCTGCATCTCATTTAGTTTCATTACAGCTTTAGGCATCCGGCCAAAATTTCTGGGAATTCGACAAAGCAGCAGACACAGACAGCAAGAACAAACCCATGCCCCTCCTCCCAGGAGTCTGCAAAGTAGTTTGGTCAGCATATATCATTTCCGCATCGGGTCGCTCCGAGGTTTGGGCCGTTGCTAATGCCAGCCGTGCCCGACTCGGTTTTGCAAACACGGATGAAGCTAATTGAGCTGGGTGCATGGGGGCCACGGGACGGTGGCTGTTTCTATCCAGTAATTCACGTCCTTCAGTGACAATCTTCAAAAGCCGAGGTGGTGCTGATGGTCATCATTACGGAGCGATTCCCAAGCAGCTCGAAACGGGAAACGGGGTAGAAGGGATTTGCGTCCGCCGAGGGAAGCAACTGCTACTTCGGCTTCCTGCTGGCCAGCGATGACCAGCTCTCCGCGGAGTTGATCGCCGCTCCACAGAAACTCTCGCAGTTGTGGCATTTGTCGGAGCCGTTTCAGCAGAGCACTCGAGGCAGGAGTCGGACAAAGCACCGGGAATTCTACTGCTTCTCGGCCTCTTTTTGGAAGTGCGCCCAGAACCCAGAGAATTCCTCATCCAGCCGAGGACTCCGCTGCACTAAGCGAGATGAACATTCTCAATCTTTTTGCTCCTGGCTCAGTGAGACGCGAGCGGGGCGGTGCTTCTTGTCTCAGCTCTGGACATGCTGTTGCATTCCCAGGCCATCGGCCACGTTGTTCTCATAGGCCTGGAGATGGGATTGCATAATTCAGCTCCATGACGAAAAATGGTGCATGTTCCTGCATGATCTCACAGCCAAGCTTTCAGTAAGACATTTCCGGGAGGGGATTCTCCCAAGTTGAAACTGACGCATCCACGGAAGCCAGTAAAGAAGACGTTTGTATGCAGGTAGTCCTCAATAGCAAGAGCCACTTCAATATGGGAGAATCGTTTCACCAATGAGCAGACGTCAGAGGATCTTGTAACACACTCATGACTGCATGCAAAAGTGAGTGCAGAGCGATTTACTGCTAGGCTTGGCTGTCGTATACATCGTCGTCGATCTCCTCCGCAGGCACCGGAGATCTGTACGACATCGCTGCGAGTGGTTTGAAAGTGTAGCCAGGCGTTTTCAGCGCCAGCGACGGAAGCGAAAACTACGCGGCAGACGCCGAAGCACAGGCATGCGGCCCTGTCACGATCTATTCACCGCAGCAGTGGATGACTGGCATAACGGCATCGCACAGACTAAATCCAGAGCCCAATGTCATGATTATGCATGATCTCGGTGGTGGAAGGCCCACGAGGATTGTCGCTTTGAGCGATGTTGCTACGGGGAAGTTTTGGCGGTTGTAGGAACGAGGCATGCAACTGTCCGCTTTTGTCTATAACAGGCCAGGCTTTCACACGCGCTAGCCAAGCTTCCTCTGGCTCTCTCAAAGCTGCCGTTTCATGTGCAAGCAGTGTATGGCATCTCCCGGGAGCACGAACTCTCGAGAGCTTGGCTTGCAATGCCTCACCTTCGCCTCTTGACCCCTCGGCTCCTAGGACTGCAGTCGTACGTTTTTTCCTCTGAGACTTGCGATGGTAGTCGAATAGCTAAGTTTCTTGTAGTAGGAGTTGCATTGTCCGGGCCCTTGCCAAGTCCCACCACCCCAGCAGCCAACAAGCTCCGGCTCACATCATTGCTGTTGTGAGGGTAAGCAGCAGGAGCTGCAGTAGCAGGCAAAGTGCAAGTAGTAGCAACAGTAAAGTATAATTGCATGAGTAGGAGCACTTTTGCCGAAATATGAGGTACGACTCTGTGAGCTAGGCCTGGATATGAGGAAGGATTCGAAGTTAGCGGGGAAAGCGACTGCGGCTCGCAGCCGCATCCCGCATATGCGAACACCAGATCTCATCAGTCGAGCGTGGGGCGAACGGCGCAAGAGTTCGCAGTATTGGCAGGCAGCGTCGTACTTGCAGCAGCCTGAGCTCAGTGATGGTTTTGTCAAGCGCAGACTCCGGCATCAGAATTGACGAAACTCAAGGGCTCCGACGACTCGGAGGAGGATGAGCGGGGCTCTCTGAAGCTGTTAGCCTGTAAGGCTCAGTGATGCGCCACTGAAATGCTTCCAGGTTTGCCGAGAAGGACGAAACAGGCTCAGCTGCAAGTTTCTGCAAGGATTCTTATTTGCCGTTGTGTGGCGCATCGGCCCTCTACAGATCCTCAGTCTCCAAGCCCGAGAGCCCAGTCGGGAGCCCCAACGTTTTGATTGCGCGGAAGTGTTGATGTGTCAGTGACTATGGGTCAAGGCGGAACCTGACGGATGCTTCTGCGAAGACAGAATCGACGATCAGAACGCCAGTTTCGCAAATGCTGAGGCGGGAGCCTTGAGGCGTCAGAAGGAGAAATTGCTTGCAGCCCTGACCAGGCGGCTGCAGCAGGTGGCAACGAAGCCAATTCACTCTGAGGCATCGAGTCCGTGACCTTTTCTTCTGGGAACCCCTGCTGGCTGGCAGGTGCAAATCAAGAAGTTCTTCAGCTTGAGCGTGGAACAGCTCAGACGGTACTGCTTCTTCTGCAAGAAGTGAGACTTGCTGGCCACACAGCGAGGCACCTGAGAAAAGTCAGAGTGGACGAACTAGCCAGGTTGGAGTATGTCCGGATTCCCAGAAGAGATTTCTCGCATGAGCCTGTGGACTTGCCAGGACTGGCTAGGAGAATGCCGCATTTGCGACCACCAAGTGGCTTCTCCGGCATGTCGAGTTGTGAACATCGCGTGCAGGGAGTATCTGCCAGGACGTGCACGTTGCTGCGACAGCAACCTCGCAAGTCTTGCAGACGCTCCACGCTGGCAAGACGGTCCTTGTTGTTCAGGCCAAGCTTGGCGCTCTGCACGTGAAATAAACATTGCAGTGCATGTCCGATGGAAGCCAGTCAGCCGTCGGACCGCTTTTATTTGTTTGCTGAGCCCTACATCCTAACCCCCAAACCCTCAACCCCAAACCCTAAAGCGCAGAAGCTGTCGAGGCAGCTAGTCTTCAGATTCACGCTTGACGATGTAGTTCTCTGGAGGGAGGACAGCGGGATCCTGTTTTGCAGGCCATACGTGGTGGACGAGGGAAAGTGTGGGGTCGCCTCACGAAGCCACCAGGCATCCGAGCTTTACAGGCCGTGGTGCCGGCCACTTGTGTAAGCAAAGGCTGGATCTTGCTGGCCGACTCGACAACTGGCTATGCGGCAGCATCGAAGGCCACAGCCACGATCACATGCAAGCACCGCTCAGCTGATGCTTGCAGGTGGCCGGTCCCGCTCAAAGCAGCTCCTAGGCCCTGAAGCACTGCCGGTCAACAGATGCTGAGCCCCATCTCACAATCGAGTGAGCTGAAGAACAGCTGCCTCGGAGGAAAAGAGGGTGCAGTGCGACTGTGGAGTGCGGATGTAAGGGAAATTGACGTGAGTTGCGAGCTTTGTGAAGGGCTCACTTGATGTGTTTGGCTCATGGCACTACATCTCCAGCTGTCAGCACCTCATCGGCGCAATGCCGATTTCTAGGCCAGCTGGTCTAATCCGCCTTCAGAGCAATGTTGAAATAGTGTCCGCTTTGCACAGGTGCTGGGTGATCATCAACGAAGCTTGAAGGTTCGGTGAGCGGAAACTCTTTCGCAAGAGCGGTTTGACATTGCTACGCAGGCCGATGCTGGCCATACTACTTGTGGGCTTCGTAGCTTGCACATCGGGCGAAGGTTCCTTGCGTTGAAGATCTGCTGCCGGCTGATCAGTATCAGCGCTGTTTCAGCTCATACCTTCGCTCCAGTTGCACGTCTTCGAGCGCGAAGCTCTTTGTCCGGCAGCATCGCTGTGAAGCAGGCAGATATAGACATATGAACAGCAAGAGTGCATTTATGTCCCCTTCTTTCAAATCCTCAGATCGTTTGCTCTTACTTCGTCCGCCTCTGTGTGCATGGTGCCGCTGAAATCGAGAACGATGGGTGCCGCGTGCACTTCTGCAAGGAAGTTACCCTCCGAGTTCTTTCGCTGCACTTGCAGCTTGCATATCTTGAGGTCTTCAGGTTTGCACTTCACTGCTTATGAATTCCTGCAATGATGGTTGCCATCTCACGTGCGGATGAGCTTGCTGACTTTGACTCTTTCAAGGGCTCACTCGGATCGCTGGGATGTTAGGTTTCTCCTTCGAGCCGCACAATTCTGACTTTGCGGCTTGTATTCGCCGCCTGTTGTGAAAGCATGGAAAAGCCCTGGTTCAGGCCCCTTGGCAGGACATTCCCGTCGAGAAGGCTGAGGACTGCATCGCAAATGCTCGCACATGTGTTGAAGGGTTCATGGGGCCGTGGGGCCCGGGCCGAGTCCCAGGACAAGCCGCAGCGGCAGCCTCGCACTATCGGGCTCACCGCCTTGCTGGCTCCGTAGCTCTGTGCACCAAGGAGCTGTGGTCCGAAATGCCAGTATGATTGCGAGCAAGCGAACTGTCCTTTGCTCAGCGGGAGAAGGTTTCTGTTGGTGTTCTTGTGGCAGCAGTTTTGTAGAGGTCCTGCAACCCATGAATGTGAGCCCCTTTGCGAACCACCTGAGTGTGTGACAACTTGCAGCGCGATTCTCAGCACGTCGGGGGGCAGGAGGGCTTTCGGAAAATTCGATGTTACCGTTCTTGAGGGTGTGAAGCTCGTCCACTATAACTATAATCTTACAGGCTGCCATTTTCGTGCTTTTATGATCCGTGCATGTCTGCGCTGTCATATGCCGCTTGAGGCTCCTCACGGACGCAGTGCGAAACTCGCTGTGGCGAACCTTTGTGTGCCCCACCGTCGAAGGTCACTTTATGTTCGTGCATGATCCGAAACGGGCGGCCAGGTGCAGTGGTATGTCCACAGACAGAGTGCAAAGGCTCTGACTGCAGCAGAGCTGTTGCATGCCAAACAGTGCGGGTGCCTCACGAACGTCTCGAAAAAAAGCATCTCTGACTATTGGCCGTTATTGGCCTTTCGAGGTGCAACCCTCCTGTTTGCACGACATCCTGTGCAGACAGCTGCCAGACATCGTGCGCGACGCCCAAGTGGCAGACTTAAAGACCCCCATCTGCGTCTTGAGAAGTCCTGTGTGGTACTTGGGAGCTTCGGAAGGTGCAAATGGCGATGCAAGCCAACCCCTGCTTGCCCGCAACCTGTGTGTAAGATCAGCTGTACAGACTTGGGCCCGCTCCTGAGAGTGGCGGGGGTAGGACGGGTAGGACAGGAGGAAGGTCTCAGTCGTTTCCGCACATAAGAAGCAGCCATCATGACTGCAGATTGTGCGGCGAAAATGGTGCACGGCAATGCTACTGCTTCAACCTCAGATTTCCACCATGATTTTAAAACAGCGCCGCATTGCTTTCCCTTGACCCGACACGTTTTCCTGGTTGGAGTAGCCGGTGTACTGTGCACGGAAGCAGCTGCCCTGTCCGTGTCCTTGAATCCGAGGCAAGAGCACAACTCGAAGCGTCACTGAGCAAACAGGGCAAGGCTCTGCAGGGTCGCGGGTAGGCGGACAGGCAAAGTTGAGTGGAGCTCTGCTCGAACTCCGGCCTGTCACTCCTATCACTCCCTACACTCTTCGCATGTAGAATGCAAGTGCTTTTCTCTCTTTGAGGAGGTGATCTCCGAGAGCAGGGCCTCGCTGGACCCCAGCGTCCTAACTGCTCCGGCCGCCGCTCCCGCGGCAGCTCCGGCGGCAGCTCCGGCTGTGCCCGAGGCGTGCCGAATGCAGACTTGGACCATAGGTTCGACCCTCATCCATGTCTATGCTTCACAGGCTCCGCAGGATACAAGGCGAGTCGGGTGATGTCCGGTGTGAGTGTCTGCTGCCTGGACCGGTAACTGCATCTGAAGACTTGACGATGTTGCCAGGATAGATCTCTCTTGGCTACGAGATGCGCTTAAAGCGCCCGTTTCAACTTTCTGAGTTTGTGCGTTGACACGACCAGCGGCAGTTGAAAAGTGCTGTCACTGCAGGCATGTGTGGCGCTTCCTTCGACAACTTGGATTCGAAACATGCCATGTGTAAAGTGTTTATGTCGTAAGGCAGTGGCAATGGCGGCTATGGCTACGGGCCAATCAAGCCTTAGTAGAGTATGATCAAGGCAGTTGTTTCCGATGCTTCATCTCTGTTCCTTTACCGTTCTTGGATGGAAGTCAAGAGAGGCCAATAGTCTCATGTGCCGACGAATCTGAATCGCGCATCTTAGTTTCAGCATGCGTTGCTGGGTGTTTTGGTTCCGATGTAGACGAAAGCAGCAGAAGGAGGACGAGGACGAGGACGAGGACGAGGACCAGGACGAGGACGAAGGAGCAAGACTTGTGGAGGAGATGATGATAAATATGCAACCAGATGTGGTTTAATTGATGGTGGTATTCTTTTTGCTTACCGTGCAGTGTGCCACTGCTGCCCCTCCTGCTGCTGCTGCCGCTGGTATCCGCTGGTTCTTCTTCTTGTGCTTGGCTCCGACGTGCCGACATTAGAAGATAACCTTCTTCGAGATTTGCAGTGTGGTCCTGGTGGTGTGAGGTCGAAAGAGCAGAGATGGCGTCGGTGCCTGCACCATTTGAACAGATGTCTTGTTGGTGCTCAGTGGTATAGTAATGTGGCGTTTCGTTATGGGTAACGGGTAACGTATCCGTGCTGTTGGTCGTTGTCGTGGTCGTCGTCGCTGTCGGCCGTCGCCGGCGCCGTCACCATCGCATGAAGAAGGGTGTCAACCAGCTTGAAAGAGCGGCTATAATTGCAGCACATCGCTTCAGCGCACCGATTGGAACAGAGGGGTGGAACCCTGGCAGATGAAGCTGTTAGGCTCAAAAGCCGCCGCGTAGATGAGGACACTTGTCAGTGTGTGCATATAGCTCTTCCTAGACGATGCTGGTACGTAGACCTTAGACACTGCCTCGACTACTGCAGACGTGTGCACTCGAACACAGTGTCGAAGCAAAAGTGCATCCGCTGAGCTCAAATCAAATTCAGAAGAGCTGAGCAGCACCATGCAGACGGAGATGTCTTTCATGCCCAGGTGCGGTGTAATCTTCTTGCGATGAGTCTCTTTCGTTCTTTCCCTCCCACATTCTTACTGGAATCTATGTCTGTGCCTTCTCCTTGACATACACATATATCGCGGCCAGTTGACGATATGCCAGGTGAGGTTCTCAACAGCATGCTCCCTGCCGCATCAGACCCAGCCTCTTGATAGGTCAGATGTTTGTGGAAGAGTCGATCATTCTGAGGGTTTGCAAGGTCCTTCCGCACAAAGCAGCGCCACCCTGCGTTGCTCGAGATGGCCTTCGGTTGGATTTCCCCGAAAGAGTGCGCGGAAAGAGTCGAAGATCTCAACCTGCATCCGTGGGGGTCCTTGCCGATTCGTGAGTGGATGAAGACAGCAAAGATGCCAGCTGCCAAGGCCGTGTGCATGCTCGTTCTTGGATTTCCAGTGGCTTCCAGAAGGTAGCGTGTCCGCATGCGACCGTTGCTGAAGACACACACACACACACACACAGACAGATGGTTTCGTGGGCCTACCCGCCAGACCCAGGCAAGGCGGAACACGAAGTGACGAGGCACTTTTCCATTTCGAGTTGATGTTTTGAGTGTCTCATCGCCAGCTTTTGCATTCAGTTGTCTCGCTTCGAGAAACGATGTGGCTAGTTGCATTCTGTAGTCCACATGAGGCCAACAGTATGAAGTCGCTACTGGCAAGCCGCCCCCGCCTTGGCAAGAGATTCCTTGCCGGTACCCTTTGGAGCAGATCGTAAGCCTTCAAGTCGGTCTCTGATGAGGTCCGTCTCCTTGGGTCATTGAGCTGTCAGCGAGGGGGCAAGTCGCCTTCAGGTCATGCTCTGAGATTCGAGACCTATCATCTTGTTGGGATGTCTACTGCTGCCCGGCCAAGGCCCGCTTCTGTCTCTGATTGCCGAAGCGAGACCACAAGCCACGACGCTTTCCTTCACTATCGCCATGCTCTGCTTTTCTTGGAACTTGCTTACAGAAGGCTTCAGGTCTCGAGCATCCTCGAGCGGAGCGCGGGGTTCGCAGGGTTCGGGGTGTTCAAGGAGTCCTTCCCCCGATGAACCTCGAAGAAGCTGCGGAATCAATCTTCAAACGGGAGAAGACCGTCCGGTCTCTCAAAGCAGCCACCAGTTCGGAGAGTCCCCGGTATCTGAGGAGACACAGACGGAAGCGGCCTCCAAAAACATTGCCAAGCTCAAGGACATGGTCTTCGTCAAGGCGAGGCCCAGTCGACGAGATGGACACTCTGAGCTACATGTGCTGATTGAAGGACATGCGTGCAGCCATGACCTCCGGAGAATTTGCTGCTCGCCGCGCATGGGCAACGGGGGCACAGCATCTGCGCGACGTGTTGCAAGCTCAGCGAGGCTCTTCGGCTGCGAGGCGCTGAGCGTCCTGGCCTGGTTGACTACGAGGCCTGCAGCGGTCGAGCGCAACTCTTTGAGAGAGATCTGGGATCCAGGGCTTGTACAACGTTCTGGAGGGATTTGCAGGGAGGCCGGGGGCTCGGGACATCAGAGCGCTCGCGCTGATCTCTCGCGCTGATCTTCCAAGGCTGTCGGAGCTGGAGGCTTCCGAGGTCTTGCGTGAAGAGGACGCTTGGAAGGCGATGCTGTCAGAAACTGACAGAAGTTGAGGCTTGTTTGGGCCCGGCAGGCAGAGGAGGACTTGAAGCTCATACAGGGGGAGCTGCAAGACAGAGTCGTGGAAATGACGCAGGCGTGTCTCTTCAAGCCTTCGGTTCCCGGTCGGAAGCCTTCGGTTCCCGGTCGGCACAGACCTTGTTGAGAGGAGACTGGTCGCGATGCACAAGTGGGCCAGGCTAGGGGCTGTGTGTGACTGCAATGACGAAGATCGCATGTGATTGTGTTGGTGGTACGTCCCGCTGCCTTTCTTGTACTTGTCCCATTCAACCTATTTTTCGTCGGTCCTGTCAGGATGCGGTCAAGAGCACCAGCGAGCAGGAGCCCATCCACGACAAGCGGGTCCCTGTGTGGCGCGCGCTTGCTGCATTTGGCTGGCAGGATGCACGCCGTACGAGCTTGAATGCCAAAGTGCTTCGCCTCAGAGACATTCTGATTCGTAGCGGCATGCTACAAGTAGCTGTTTGTTTCGTATGTGCTGTCTGCATGGGCGCAGCTTTGAGAGAAGGCTCGTGAACCTGCAGCAGAGACTGGTAGAACCCCCAAGCGGCCGCGCCACCGAAGTATCGCTCACTGTCCTTTCAAAATGGCCACTGGCCGCCCACGATGCACAGCCCCCTTGGGCCCCTTTTTGGGCTCCGGGGGCTGGCACTGGCTCGGCATGAAACGGTTGCTGGGCTCTGGCGGCAGGGGCAGAGTCCCGGGCTTCAAAGTTACTAGTCAGAATTAGTTGTGCAACTAAGCTGTTGGCGCAGAGTAGTCATGCAACAAACTAAGGCTACGAGAGACAATTGAGGTCCACACTGAAGGCCGGCCAGTGGCAGATTGCAAGCCTCCTCGTCCAGGAAGTGCGTGAGCTGGGCTTCAAAGTCTCTGCAGAGACCTACCAACTTCTTTGCCTTCAGTGTGCAACGAGGGCTTCGTGGCAGGTGGCTCTTGCAACCTTTATTGCTGTACAGCCGGGGCTTGAAGTGCGCGAAGCGAGTCCAAGTGCAAGCGCGGTGCTGGGAGCATGCTTACTGGGATCTGGAGTGATCATTGACGTAAACGTATGGATTCGGTGCAACTACCTTTTCATGGCCGCTCACGGAAGTTGGAGTAAGATGCTGTACATTCTGCAGGCGCTCAGGCACAGAGTTCCGTCATCCCTCGATGGCGACGATGCGACCATCGCACTGAACGTTGTGCTTCGAGCATGTGCAGCGGCTCACGCCTGGGAGCAAGCACTGTCCATGGTCCTACCCTTAAGGAAGCTCGAAGTGCAGCCATCCGTGGCGACGCTGGGGACGGTCCTCGCTGCATGTGAACGCTCTGCTCAGTGGCGGGCGGCAGTCGAACTTCTTTCAGGAAAGATGGCACGGTGGGGCTGGCAAGATGTGCTTCCCAATGTTGTCTGTTACAACACGGCTATTGCTGCATGTCGTCGCACAAGACACTGGAAGCAAGCTTTGCAACTCTTACGCGACGGACATGAGCGGAGTCTGCGGCCGGATGGTGTGAGCGTGGCGACCACACTGCGTGCCGTCAGCAGCTTGAAAGGCCATGAGTGGTCTGGACGTGCCGAGGAGCTTCTCTTGGACATGAGGCGATCCAGGATTCATGCCGCTGATCCTGTCACTCTTCTTGGCGGTGCGGAAGCGGAAGGATCCACCTTGCTGTCACGCTTCTCCTGGACGCGAGCGCTCGAGATCCTAATGAGCTCCTTTTCCGGCACATGCGCTGGCCCTCCATCGAATTCGGTGAATTCAGCGTTGGCAGTGCTTCGCCGCCATCGACGCTGGGCCGAAGCTCTTCATGTCATGACAGTGCTCGGTCAGAGGGCTCCTTGCACCGACATGCTCGTGGACGGCGTGGACGTTGTCGGTCTTCTTGACTTTGTTTCTCTGCTCCAGGATTGTCTGCAGACCTCGAGGCTTCATGCAGTCCTTCCCAGACTAGTCAGGAGGACGAAGTCTGCGAATGGCGTTTCGGTACAGGGTGGATGTGATGCCCAAGCTGCTTGCAGCGCCTGCGATGTGCTGATGGGTTTTGGCCTTCTTGGGACTGTGCAGCTTTCAATGGACCGTCGAACAGCGCGGCCGCTTCTCCGTTATCTCAGGAGTTTCATTTGTTCAGTATCGATAGTAGATCCAGCCGTGAGTGCTACAAGACGAAGCACGGACGCGCATCTTGCTCACAGTGACGTTGCACCCACAGCAGGCCTAGGCATGACCCGCGAGTTGGTCGAGAGCTTGCAGGATCACAAACAGGCGTCTCCAGAAAAGAAATCTCTTGCGAGTCACCCTGCTGATTTACGGGGCACCGGGGTTTCGTGACAGCGGAGCTTGAGGCAGCATCTCAAGCGCGCAAGAAGTTCATGCTGCGCCCTGCTTTTGGCTGTTCGCACTTCAATTCTGGAGTGCTGCTCGAGAAGTTGAGGTACCTTCGAGGGGATCAGATGGTTGACGTTGACACCGTCCTCCAGGTGCGTGTTGTAAGCTCGCAGCTTTGATGGACATGTGTTTGGCGCTCTCTTCAGGATTCCCAAGCTGAGCAGCCCTTTAGCCGCGACTTGTGGGACCGCAGCAGCGTTTGGAGCCAGTAGCTGTGATGTGCAGCTTCACTGTTTGCAGGAGCGTCTTGAAGGCAAGACTCAGCACTCCGAGGGTGAGTGGTCACCGTACGAAGACTCGCAGGATCGAGCAGCTTGTGCAAACAGTGGTGTGCGAAGCATCTGCTGGCAGGAGGCCGAGGGACGAATACAACAAAAGGAGGCCGTTCTGCTCGAGGCGAGAAGTGGCCACGGCACATCGATTCTGAATTCTCGGATGGCTGTTCGCTTGTGGCCGACGCGTCTGCCTGTTTCTGGTGAGGCCAAGCAGGAGCTCAAGACAGCCAAAGCGAAACGAGCCAAAGTGCTTAAGAAAATGAAGAAGGCACTACAATTGCTCCTCCAGTGCGAGCTACATAACGCTGTAGCTTTGTGGCAGGCAGCCAGCAAGGGCGGCTTGCAAGACAAGAAGCCCATCGACCTGACAACGGACTTGTTCCGCATCTTGGTGGATCCAATTCAAAGCATGACTCATCCTCGCATGCACATGGTTGCTCCGGTCCCTGCCAGAGCGTCAGGTTGGGATCGACGGATCTCTGGTCATCAAGTCCTCGTCCTGCTTGCAAACGTGGACTTGATCTTTGACAAGGCACGGGATGCAGAAAGGCACAAGCGCGAAGGCAGCTGATGAGCCCAAAGATGCCAGAAGGTGCTCTGTTGCATGCAAACAGCCGTGTGTTGCACAGTCGCTCAGGTTGCGCTGCAGCTGGAGAAGCTGCTGGTGCAAGCTGATATTGCCGAATGGGATCACTCAGGCCTTGAAAGCAAAGGGGGCAAGAGGAGCCTTTTGAAAGGATCTCGGGCCATCCCGTACTGGAAGGCAGGCTTGTAAATCGGAAGTGGGTTGTGCAGTGTTTGTGTACTCCTGTAGATCCTAGCTGCAGCTCAATCGCCTCTTGCCGGAAATTCAGCGAGCATGTGGGAGCAGGCCAAACCTCTTTGCGAGGTTTAGTCATTTACTATAGGTCTTCCTTCCGTTCATTGCCAACAAGTTCTAGACACATTCTTACTGTCAAATCACTGTGATGGATGCCCTGGCAGTCTGCCGGTCGGGAATAGGAGACGGAAGGGCGCCCGAATGCAGGTCGTCGGTTGAAGCGGCTGGTGCTCAAGCTGTCTGCCCTGGAGGTTCAGGTCCGGGCTTCACCGCCTCTCGTTTGTCGTAGGAGAGCTGGAATTCGGAGGTCGCTCCGTACCGGAAGTACGTGCGAGAGAGCCCAGAAAAGGCACATTCGTAGCCACACCGCAGCCGTAGAGCCATAGACCATGCGTGGTGGGCCTGCCTCTCTTCAGGTAGTACACATCAAGGGCCTGGACTGGGACGAGCTGCAGATGCTCGAGGAGCAGATAGTAAGGGCCTCGAGTCTCTTCGACCCGTCGAGAGTCGAATCGGGAAGACAGAGACTCGTAGTATGGCGGGGACATGTGACAGGGCCGGTGCCCGGTGCTTTCTGAGGCATCCATTGCTCAAAGCGTCGGGCTGCACGTGGAGCGAATCAACCAGCGTTCGATTCCCTGTTGCCTCCGATCTGCCGTTGTGAAGTCTTCTCGATATGCTCCCAAGGTAGCGGCTTCTTTGCGCCGATCCGGAGACAAATGCCGCGGTCGTTAAGCCGACGACTACGACGGGGGTTGACTTGGTGCCACGCTTCTGCCTTAGGTTGTCTTTCACAACTTCCTGGCAAAAGATTCGGCGAGGAATTGTTTTCCAGGCCTGAGCTTCATGTCAATGTGCATGACTGTCTGGAGTCATCCGGAGAGGGTACATGACAACGTGGTGAGGCGCATGAGATCACAAACTAGTTGAGCAAATGGAAGATTTCCAGTGTCCTCTAGTCATGTCTGGACGTGTAGTTGTAGAGCATGGACAGAAAGAAAGCAACTAGCAAGCATGTTAGCCATCTACCGGAGCAAGTCAAGTCCGAGACGCACTCAGTATCTCAGTATCTGCTGCAGCGCTTGATAGCTTGATAACTGTCAATCCTAAGTCAAGCACCTGCCGCTTTCTCGAGCTTTCCGGCTTTCGAGTCTCGGCAGGCCAATGGAGTTCGCCTGCTTTCTCAGGCAGAGCTATGCAATCACCTCCGGCGCACCTCCGTCGTCAGTTTTCTTGGAGGACCTCCGCCTTGCGCTGAAGCTTCTCCTTAAGGCGCACCGTTTAGGAATTTGGTTTAGTTCATAGAGCAGCCGCTTCGTGCAGGTTGTCTTCCTGAATCACGCCCTAGAAGACCGAGAAGTCCGGATCTGCAGACGAGCTGTGAAGGTCTTCGGGGCAAATCTGTGCTGCATGTTGAGGCCCCACTCGCAGCATGTGCTCTCAAGTCCAGGACTTGATCGTCATGGTGCCCTTCCTGATCCTGCTGCTTATCCCGCTGTCACCACCGGGGCATATGCTTGTGTTTTCCCTCATCCTCAAGGCCAGAACGAGCATGTGTCGTGGTGGCATCAGGTGTTTCTCCGCTGTCAGGTCTATCCCGACTTTGTCCCGTCGCCATTCACGGAGCATCGCCAGAACGCTTCATGGCTTAAAGTGCAGTAGTGAAAAGGTTTTTGAATATTCCTGCTCAGGTGATGAGGATCTACAATGCAATTAAGCCTGTGAGCGAGAAGAGTGATCATAGCAGTTGGAGTTAATGAACAGTGTCGCCTTGAAGGGGCCGCCCTGTGCGAAGTCTCTTCGAGGCTTCTTTTTACAACTTTTGAACATAGCTCTGCTTCTGCATGTGAATGTCACGGGTACAGTCCGCGTTCAGCGTGTTATTGCTGCTGATGTCCCATGACGTAGCAGCACGGTGAGTTCACTGCAGTTCCGCTTCGCAGGGTTCTTGGCAGGCTGGAAGACCTGCAGCCTGGATGCTTTCCACTGTCTGCAACTTGTCCAGTGCTTTCCTCTAGCCTGCCAGCAAGGTACACAGCTGCAGCTAAAAAGAGTGTGGAGCGACCCTTGAATTGAACTGCCTGCGTGATTCCCGCAGCATAAGCCAAGCTGATCGCAGGAGCCTCTGGGGGATGGGGCGAATGTGCCTCGACCGTCTGAGGGGGGAACGGAGCGTGGCATCGTCTCGGGTGGTCCGTCGACGGCATCATGCTCAGCATGCTTTCGTGCGGTGCTTCGTGGGTAGTGTCCGGGTCCAGAATCGTCCGGGCACAGAATGTTGAGGGTGGTATGCCCGGCCACGCCAACGATTGTGTATCGGCCAAACATGGATGCCGCGGCTCCTGTTTAAAACTAACCCATTTCGCCGTTACGCAGTTACGCATGTTTCCATAAGAAAGTTGTTGGCTGTCGGTAGGACCTAAAGAGCCGAACAAGCCAATGCAGGTTGCGAGCTGTGAGGGAACACGAGAGAGTCGTCGCCTTCAGCCGCACTCAGCTTGAAGTCGTGGGCTTTTGACGCATATTCTGGGAAAGAACTCTAAACTTTCAGGAAGCATGAAGCAGTCACGCAATGTCAGATTATTCAAATTTGACCTCCGTACTTGGACTTGCTTGCGCGCCAAAGCTGCATCATGTGTGCTGGAAGCCGCAAGGATAATTTACCAGCTTTCTTTTGGCAGCTTTCCTCTTTCTGACGCGATGCCGCTGGGAATCAACCTGTTTGGCAAGGGCCACACGCAGGAGGCCCAGCAGGCCCGCAACTTCAAAGCATTGCGCTACTGGCTTTTCTTTGTAGCTTTCTTGACATGGGTTCCTTCGACATGATGCGATTGCATTGCGGGTTCCAGCACGTAATAGCCCCGCTCCATAGTCAGCCATTGCAGGAATCTGCCAAAGAAATGGTTCGACAATGGCAGAGAAATCTACGCTCTGAAGCTCGAGGTTTGGACAGAAGCATCAGGACTCAGAAGTCATGCCTGCCGGATTTCCACAGCATCTCGAGTCCGTGAAGCCATGAAGCGCTAAAGCAGGAAAATCGAGCAGGAGGAAGACAAGATTCGGAAAGATATCCAGGCTCGACGAAGCGTTGCACTGCCGGGAGTTTTCAGGGAGTGCGCTTCTTGTTTTCCGTTTGCATGTATGTGGGCTGCTAGCTATCGTGCTGCCAGGCCATGGCAAAGCAAGGGGGCGACCCCAAGAGCATTCAAATGCTTGCAAAGTCTCTCATTCGATCGAGCAAGGCGAAGGCCTGATTGAGGTATTTCTGTAGATAAACAATATGGTCCTGCCCCACATGACAGACATCCGCTCCCGCCGGCGATTCCGGCCTTTTGCGTGGGTTCCGGATTCAAGCCCGGCATTCTGCTGGCATCAACCCCTCAACCGAAGTCCGCAGAGAATGCAGGATATTTGTTTGCTTTTGAGGTCTGCCTTCGTATTGCCTCAATCCCCAGCCTCTGACCAAAGAACCAAACAACCAAAAAGCCAGAGATCCAAAGAGAATGCCGGAAAAGTTTTTTGTTTTGTTTTACAGGTTTGTTTCTTTTGTTTGGGTCTTATTGGGTTTTCGTGTCCAGTGCCAATTCTCCATAGCAGTCGAATCACAAAAACGCAGAGACCCAAAATAAAAACAGTTCGCATATTCTCTCCACATCTGTGTTTTTATGCACGTCCTTCATCTTTGGTGTTGCGCGCGTGCACTCTTGCCTCAAATCCCAATACCAAAGGCCTAAACTAAGCCTTGCAATATTCTGAACAGTGTCTTTTGAGGATTGGAAATTACTGGTTTGTCTAAGTCTAGGATTTCTAGACAACTTTTGAAAACATCTTTGTTCCTGAATGATCAGGTACCAGTAGTCGTTTCATAGCAAACTCCTTCATCCGGCTCTTGTGTTTACACATGCGCATAGGTGCAGCAGGGACTGCTAAGCATCACACATGAGTAACAACTGCAACAGCTCTCGGAATCATCAACTATATATAAATACTATAAATTCGAAATGGTTTGGTTCTTAGTTTTTCAAGCGAGTAGCCGTTATGCTTAATTGGTGTTCCTATCGTGTTTTGACACACACACACACACGCAGGCAGACACGTTTGTTGAGCCCGCTGATTTGTGCACAATCATTTCAACATTGCTGGTGTGTTTTACAATCCTGCACAATGACGAACAACTCATTACTACAGGCAGTAACGTATGCAAACCGCTATTGCCAGATATGTGATGGTATACATTGTAGACACGAGTACACTAGTTTTCAGGTGTATGTTTTATTTTAACACTACATTTCAGCAATGGTGGCAACACGTAGCAATTCGTGACCCACTATCATAATTCTAGGTATGGGTTTTTGGGCGGGAAGTATAGTCGTCATACCCCTGCAACCTTGTCCATTCTCAGCTTCCTTTCTCAATCATATTTATACTACTAGTACGTTCTTCCACTCATAACTCATCGTATCAAGTGTAGACAGTGTGGTTTACTTTATGATTGACCAATGCTATAGTTACCATTACCATTAACATTACCATTGTCCCTATCATTGTATTGTTTCATCGTTTCAGACCAACCCAGCATCATAAGGTGCATGTATCAATTGCTGAGTCCTATCTTGGTTAGCATTTTGATAGTTGCTGAACTACCAGCACTCCATGATTGGATATTCACATCTGTGTTGTAATAGAATGCTGGGCTAATCAGGCAACATATTTGTTTAGGAACCTGGAGGATCGTTGTTGACAGCCAAAAAATTAATCTTTTCTTGGCTGCTATTAAGCTTTGTATTCCGCCAGGTTGGCTCTGATACCCGGTCTCTATTTACCAAGAACTCTTTACATGCTTTCTTTTCTGAGTTTAGTTCATCTTAAGTCTGTGCACCAATTACAGATGTCCATTCCATCATTGGGCGAACTAGGAGTTTCGTTTTTGATGACCATTATGCAACCATGTATGTTAGATGTTTGTTGTGGGTTGCTGTTATTGTGCCGGTTAGGGTTCTTTACTCTAACCACCAGATTAATGCCATACAAGCATGAGAACACCGTAACCAAAGACCTGCAAACATAAAGCGCACATAAGTAAACAGCGTATACATTGATTATGCGAAGTGTGTAACTCAAGCCAGTAAAAGCATTTTTCGTTACACAAGCCAAGGTTGAAATAACTGTTAATATAACGATAGGTTCGAGATGTAAATTGAAATCTTCAACCCGATCATAATACTCTTAAGCTTCTTTTCAATCGATATCTTCACTGCGATGGTCTGTCGCCAGGGAGGTTGAGTCCATTTAAGCATATGCGCGATAGAGATTCTGAGTGTTCATTGGTCCTGACAACAGGATCGCTTATACACCTCTAGATCGATCATGCAGTCGGCTGGCAGCTCAGTAGCGTGTATTCGAGCAGATGAAGCTTACTTCACCAACACTATGCACTGCTGCAGAGCGGCGTGTTTGACACGCAGCCTTTCTCTCGTGCACACTTGCGGATTTCAAGGCAGGGCTGTGCCGTCCCAAGGCAGTGGCTGAGCTGGAGACGACTGCAGCGACGATGCGGCTGTCAGACTCCATGAGTAAGTCGGCAGAGGCGTGGCTTCCGGCAGTTTCAATCGTATACCACAACGAGGGCTTGGTCTCGCCGTCAGGTCATGAAGCAAATGAACTCCCTCGTCAGGATTCCCGAAATGGAGGCACCGTGGTCGACTCGTGATCCGAGAGCATGTTTCGCGGTGCTGGAGTGCCAGGAATCGATCAGCTCCATGAGGCGGGAGATGATGCGGGCAGGCCTCCGTTTGCCCACACCGAGAAGTGCATGCCAGAGGGCAGGCTTCCTCGTGCAGGCCTCATCGACGAGTTGATCGACGAAGGCATGGAAGAGATGGCCGCAGCCTTGGATCCGAGGCGGCTCCATGAACCCGAGAGAGAGAGACGCACTCGAGGACGGACCGGATCTCGAGGTAGAGGCCTGCGGGGCATTTCTGTGCTGAGTAGGCGACCACACTCTCAGAGCGCAAGGCCGAAGCGGAGGTGGACAAAGTGCTGGACACTGGGGCCGCCCCAATTAGTGAGACTCCACCTCGATACTGTGACTGTTGCGGCTAATAGATACCTAGCCTTCTTGATGCAGGACGATCTGGCCATAGACGCCTCTGTGCGCATGGCAATCTCCAAGCCGCAGGCCCCCAAGCCCGCACCCATGCAGCAACGTTGCGAGCTAACCTTTCGAATTGGGTAGGCGGTGGCAGCCCCCGCAGCTGCGACGGCGGCTGCAGTGCCAGACCCCCAGCTGGTGGTGCGAACAAGTGGAGCATGGCCGAGCAGGGTCCATCAGATCAAAGAAGTAAGGTGGGCTTCGAGCAAGCACCGCCACAGTTTTCGAAGCAGCAGTATGGTTTGAAGACTAGGGCCAAAAGCAGTTGTTGGGCCTGGAGATGGGGCTTGCTCCGCAAGTCTCAGTGGCAGTTTTCCCAGAACAGGCCCCAAACTGCACCTGCAATTCACAGGCATTGAGGCAGCTGCTACATATGCTGACATACACAGGATCTAGTTCACTTAACATTGGGGCAAAAGAAAAAACTAGGACCAGGCGAGTGGGCCTCCGGCAACCCGGCCGCATCATGCCACAGGAAGGACAAAGCGATCGCCAGCACACAAATCCTCGAGACATGCACCCTCACTGGAACGTTTGTTCGCCGCTCCTGGACTTGCAAACTCAAGGAACAGGGACAAACACGCACAGCGGCTGAAGAAATAGACAAGCCATGCCAAACTAGCGATGTTGGCGAACTGCGAAGAGCGAAAGCTTGAAGGAGTTAAAGCAACGCCATGAATAAAAGGAGTGCGAGGTTGATCCCTTGAATAGCGGGTTCTTTCTGCCGTCTCGGCTGCTGGCAGTAGCTGCTAATCTGTCTAGGCTGAGTGATGGTGTGGAACTTTGCTGCTAGTTTTTGTACTTGCCACAAAGATACACAAGTTGCTCTCGACATGCAGCTTCTGCTTGGGAGCACAGCCATTGATAAGGCTGCGGAGAAGGATTGCTGTAAAAAGAGCACTACTGTATCTTGGGTCAAATTTTTGAATAGCACGAAGCTTGATGCTATGCCTTTTCTAATTTTATGTCTGAGCGCTGCCGTGACGGCAGAACCGGTGCTGGTCTGTCCGTTTCTGGAGTGAGGCCGCAGCGGGCAGCGGCAGCAGCTGGCTACGCTGGCTGATGCTGGCTGATCTTGGGCCTCAAGCAGTGCGCCAGGCACATGTATGCTTCAGCGAAGCTGAGCATGAAACGCTGTTTCAGTGGCAGCGACCGCCCGGCGCATGTTAACAAATGACTCCCTGTAGCGTACGTTGGGACAACAGCTTCGAAAGTTGCAAACTAGCTGCTCTGGGAAACTCGAGGTTGTAGTTCATATTGCTGGCTCGAGTCATCTTTCAGTGGTGGGTTCTCTTAGATGCAAGCGCCAGACGGAAATGTTACAATGTTGCCTGCATCTGCATGAATGACTTCGGTACATACAGGAGCAAAAGCACGCTTTATTGCTTTAATTGTGTGGATGGGTTCAATACACACGCCTCCGACATGGCAGTCTTGCTTCTCGTGACAGCTGCGATTGCAGCGGTGGGAGGCCGGTCTATGGCAAAGGCGGAGTTGAGGCCGAGCTTTGCAGAGCTTTGTGCTTTCTGAAAGGTGCTCTCGACCTGCCCTCCTTGAAAGGGCAGGCTCAGCTGCTGGGCTTCTCTGGCGACCAGACGAATTACAACGAGTCTGCTCCCCACATGCGCTGGACGGGCCATGTTGGCGTACGCTTCCAACATGCGCCGCAGGACCATCCGGGTGGTGGGGCATTCCTGGACTTTGGTACAGTCGTGGATCTGATTTGCTTGCCGGTTGCAGGGATTTGTGGTTTGGGTCATGGGCTTGCAGTTGCTGTCCTGCTTGTTTCTGAGTAACAACTGGTCATGACGCTGTGCGGTCGCGCCTAAGTCGCTTAGTCCGTTGTGCTGCGATAATTCAGGACACCGTGTTCGGCTTCACGCCCGACACGGTGCTAAGGCAGGATATGCATGCGCTGGTGTCGACGCTGCTGGAGGGCAACAGCTTCCCTGGCAGAGTGCCTTGTCCAAGTTTGGCAGAAGCTTTGTTTTATCATGTTCCACGTTTAGACTTGGAATAGGTTGAGGTGCTGTAATGGTGACGTTGCCTAGGTATCGAACGACTTTCCAGACTTTGACGATGCTGCACTGTCGCCTTTCGGGGTCGTCTTCGTGTTCTGGGACATCACGGGCACCTGCAAAGAAAAAGACTGTGGACTGTCTTCTGTCAGGAAAGACATGACTGACATGAGCAAGTCCTACGCGTTTCCGCCAGAGGCACCACTCAAATATCGAGGAACAACATACTCTGCTTGCACGACCTCCTGGGGCGAGACGTGCTTCAATTGCGCAACATATCCCAAGTCAGTGGGGTTGCCAATTCCCGAAGATGCTTCTCTAACATTGTAGCACGCTTTGCCACTTTGCTTCTCTAGAGTGTTCTTCTTGGCTTTCGCTTTCTTACAAGATCCGGTTGTTCCATGCGCCGGCTAAGGACACTGGGATGCTGCCCGAATATTTGGAGAAGATGGCTTTGTTGCATGGCTCCTTTTGCAGATGCTACAAATCTGGCAGATGGCATTCGAAGTCTGATTGCTGGGCTGAGAGAAACAGAGTTCTTTTCAACACCTGTACATTTGAACAGCCAGTGGAAGACCTTTGACACGCTTTTGCCGGAGCTCGAGGCTACAACTGTACAGTGTCTCGGGTCACGATGGTGTAGGTATGCTCTGCAGTTGCACAGCTCCTGTGCAGGGAAACCAGAACCAGCCAGCTTGATGTCCTTTGGCCCAGTAGTGCTGCCGCTTCGCGATCCTTTCGCTACCAAGTCCAATGTAGCGTTGGCTCTATTCCAGATAAACGGCATATTCCAGGATTGCAGACTGCCAGATATCAGAACGTCGAGTGACTCTTAGTTTGCATATCTAGTGCAGGTTTCAGATATGCTCCCAATGATCTTGACAGGGCTTGTCCTGGTGTGACAGCAGCTTTCACAGGTTACTGCTGTAGAACCAGAAGGCAATTGCTATGCGCCTGATTTGATGAGTCATGGCTTGGGCATATCAGCAGCCCGGTCCGTATACACAAGGACCTGTCGTTCTGACTTTGGCGTGATATCCCCGATGAGCTGCAAGGACACAAGGGTGCCAAGGGCAAGTGGTCCAAAGGCTCTGACTGAAATGCCACTGTTGACATACTCTACAGTCGTACATGATAGGTACCAATGGCAAGAGTTTTCCCGGCGCGGCTGGGCGGCAAAGTTGTGTATGGCTTTAGCATCATCTGGCATGAACATAGGTTATGGCCTTCATTCTAGGATTGAGTCAGCAGCCAAGCAATTCAAGCTGCCACAGAGTTGGACCTGGGACTCGTCGGAGGTTGAGCTGCAGAGCGATTGTCACGTGAATCCCGACATGTGCCGACCACTAGATCCGTGGAGCTTACGGCGGCGAATGGTGAACGGTGGTGTCGTGCTGAAAGTCATTCGCCGTATAACATGATGCACTCCCTCCAAGGACTCAACCCTTGGTGACTGCTTTTCCCCAGCTTTCGACCCAGTGTTGGACGACACCCAATCTGAGGAAAAGAAGGTCTTGCCGGTGACGGTCTCATACCTTACCGCTGGTGAGCCGGTGGACGTCTTCCATCGCTATTGCCAGGAGTGATGGCCATGCACACGCAAGTTCGGGAGTCTAAGACTTGGAGATGTGCAGGACCCCAATGGCTACTTCATGGCACAGACGGGTGCTTCGGGCCTCCTCCATCCGAGCATCGGAAAGAGCTGCGCTGTGAGAATGTTCGTTTGTTTGCCTCTGTGCATGTACACATGTCTATCACCCTCTCAAATGTGCTGCAGTTCACATGTCGCGGGTTTGCGCCGTGCTGCTCAGTCAGCGGCGGCCAGGACTGATGCATGGACCACCGCCGTGGTGAACGAACACTGGGATGCTCAATACTACAATCCCCAGGACAATTAAGGCAGGCCTTTGCCGCAAGGTATGTTCTCCCGAGCCGCGCCAGGACTACAACACGTGGGTTCAGATCCGATGGACGCATCCTACATGGTACAACAGAAGGCAGAATACCGAGCGTGTCCCTTTAGCAGTGTTTGATGGTAAGCAAGTACTATCCTTCTCGACGAAGGCAACTTGATTGCCATTGCTTGATGCACCATGCACAGAAGCCTGCTCACATTGCAACACTGGAATGCGTAGTTAAGGGGACATCGCCTGGATGTCGAAGTCTCAGCGTGGTAGTGCTTGTTTCAGGAAGGCGGGAGATGTGCTCGACTAAGGTCAAAAACCCCAGCATGGTGACACAAAGAGTGATGCCCGAGCAGACGCATGGCTGCGCAATTTCCACGTCATCTTGACATGTTCACGAGGTGGCATGGCCATAGCACGCCATCGACAAAATTCGAACGGTTGCAAGGATACGCCAACGAGGAAAGCCATCGGAGGCTTCTGCCTGAGATCTCATGATATTGAAGGTTTCAGAGGGGCGTCCATGCACCGAGGCGCAGCAGCAGCCACGGCTTTCTTTGCGGGGCATCCAGCTCTTTCTATCCGGAACGCCACCAGTCGCAGAAACAAGTTCAGGTTGCACGTGCGATGGGGTGGGCAGCAGCCGGTGAATCCCGTCACAGAGGCACACAGGAGGAGACCTCTCCCGGAAGCTGGTTCTCTCTCTCCTGGCAGGGTGCCGGTGGTTGGGGGAAGATCGGATCCACACCATCAGATAACTACATCAACTCTTGGGAGGTGGGCGAGCCGGGCGATCCCGTCCTGGCTGTAGTAGTTAATTCGCCTGAAAGTGTTGCAGGACAGCGTCTTCCGGGCTTTGGGGCCCAACTACGAAGTAGTCTCCGTCTTCTTCCAGAACTCGGAGGACCTCCTCGGACAGCTTGGAGACTGTTTCGGGTGCATTTCTGACAGGAGCTGTCCAAACTCTGTCCTCCGCTCTTGAAGACATTGCTCAGAGGCTGTCCGCTCCAAGCCTTTGTGGGTCTCACGATGTTGTGCTCTCAAGGAGAGCATGTCGGAGCGCTCTACTTCATGTGGCCCATTGCCTTCCAGGCCCGAATTTGACTGGATCCTTCGGTTGCTTTGCCGTCAGGAAGCGTTGTTTCTGTTGAGCGAAGGATGGACACGAAACGCCGGCGTACGTGCAGCGGGAAAAGCAGCTTGACATGATGGTCAATATGGAGGTGGGCTCAGGCCAAATGCAAAGCAAGGGGAGGGCACGAGCGATGGGTTTCAAGGCCGCTGGCATCCCAACGCGCTTTCCCCACCAGTCACACTTGTACAAGGCCGTGCTGCTCTGTCTGCATGGTGGCTCGGAGGTAGTGAGCTCTGCGTGAGTGCAGGTGTTTGCATCGAAGGAGTGGACCAGCCAGATGTGTGTTGGCCTTCAATGGCTTCCTGCAGAAAATGCTCATGTGCTGAAGTGATGCTCAGGCCTGCATCCGCTCCTACATGTGCCACTAACCACAATGGTAGCGCGGCAGGTGGATCCGTCATCCATCGAGTGAGCTCTAAGGGGTTCCGTGGAGCCTTGTCAAGGCGATTGTGACGGATCCAGCTGGTGCAGCCTCGGACGCGATGAAAGCTTTGAACAATTTGGCCGAGGCCGGAGAAGCTCAGAAGCTCGCGTCCTGCTGTCCTCCTGCTTTTCTGGCGAGGCTCGCCACAGTTGGAATGCTCAGCTTGCGCAGCCCCCCAAGGCCTGCCTGGAGCTTCTTGGTGCATGGCAAAAGTGAGTTTTCATGGTATCTGCAGGCAAAGCGTGTAGTTAAAGGGGTCACCGGCTCAGATCTTGTTGGCAAATCAAACCATGGGGAAGCTCGAGCCTTCAAAGCGCTTTCCTTAGGTTGCCAAGCTGGGATGGAGCTGGGAAGCCATGGATGTAACTGCCTGGAAAAACAAGGAGGCCGCGGCCTTCCCTTCGACTCCTTTGCTCTTTGGAGGCTCCATGGCAACTTTGCTAGGAGCTCGAGATGGCTCTCTGTGAGCTGAGCGAGCAACCCGGAAATCTCTGCGACCAGATCTTTGTGCAGGAAAGCCAAGGGGCCATTGCATACGCAACCTATCGAAGGCTGACCTGATACCAGGAATGGCTCGACTTCGACGTTGAAATGCGACACTTCATTGTCGAGGCAACTGTGCCGTTATCTGCATCTAGTCTATCCCGCTGCAACGGCTGCACATAGAGGCAAACTACGATGACCCGCAGACCTGGAAGCCGAAGCAAATTGTTTACACTGTGGCTGCCTGACGGGACAAGCGTTGGACGAAAAGTTTGACGATCTCGATGTTCACGTCAGGTCTTCAAATCCAAGGAAGACAACTCGTTTCGAAATTTTGACAGGCCTGGTTTCGATTGATTTCTGTGCGCGGCAACTCTGAGCTGTGAGTTGGATGCAAAGCTGCTCTTAGCGTCTTCGAAGGTACGACCGACTGGGCTGCCTGGGCAAATGCTTCCAGAATGATGACGCTGCTCTGGCAGATGCAGAGCGTCAGGCTGAGGCCCTCATCGCCAGGCACCGCCAACCGCTGCGTGGACAACGCCATACCGGGACGTAGCTTGCATCAGGTGGATTCAGTGGCTTCAAGCTCAAAGTCATCAACTCCCTGTCGTAGTGGCAGCCATAGAGTCGCGATTTGCGTGAGCTCCGAGTGCACAAACTCAGCCTGGTCCAGTTGCCACCGGCCGAAGGTCAGAATGGATATCGTGGCGAAGCGCACGGGTCCTGGCAAAGCTGTCGTCCACACTGGAGCAGAGACCCCAGTTCATTTGGCCCTATCTCAGTCAGCTTGGCTTCGTCGTGCTGTGCACTGAGGAACTTACTGAACTCGGAGCCTGCTTCTTGGGCTGGGCGAAAGGTCCCCAGGCAGGCTCTCCGAGTCTTTTTGAAGAGCATGGAGAGCCGCCTGCTGTCTGCAGGTGGTTTTCCCCGCCATGCTCCGGTCCTGTTTCAAGGACAGGCCCACGGCCGGGTGGCCCAGGTGGCCCAGGATGGCCCAGGTCAATCAGACATGGCGATGTGCTAAACTCACTGTTTCAGGAAGACGTGCAGATGGAGCTGTGGTGATTAGTCCATCTGGTTTCGTGCAGCTTCTGCTGTGCGATTTTGAGCCTTAGGCCATCCGTTCCTCGCAGCAGTGGTAACAGTGCCAGCTAGGCAGAAAAAGTTCTCCTTGACAGCCCAATCGTGTGGCCCAGCACGGGAGACACGGAAATGTGCAGGACTCTCAAGGTTTGGCGATTCCAGATAATAGCAAGAGAATCAGCGTGCATCCTCAAGGATAGAGATGCCATGATCTGACTGGTCTTGTGCTTATGTCAAATGGCATTTTCTCAAACCAGCGGGGCTCCTCTTTGGGGCAATCTCTTGTGCCAGAAGCTTGGATAATCAAAGAAAGGTGTGTCGCGTCACATGCACGAACAGTTCTTATTCTCCAAACGGCTGCTTCAATTTCGAGGTTTTGTTAAATGCATTGACGAGTGCACGGAAGAAGTACGGACGGCTGAGCGCCGTGACCTTAGACCTTGGCTCCCTGAGTTGGTATTGCATCCCTCCCCTGGCCACAATCGAGCATGAGCCGAAACGTCATTTCAGGTGCACATGTTGATGGCCTGCATAAGATGAGACAGGCCTTTGTCCGATGGCCACGCAGCTTCGGTTTGCAGATGCAAAGCCAGGTGTGGGTGTGCTTGGCTCTGCTGTTGCTGTCCTTCGAAGGAGGTTGGACTCGCAAAATGGGTTGTTGGAGAGGATGTGGGACACGGCGGCACATGTTGCAGAGAGCCCTGCCGCAATAGGACTGGCAGCGCGTCCGAGACAAGTCGTAGCCTTATCAAGCTGTGTCAGTAGCTTGTTCCTTGGAAATTTATGTCGTATAGTTGGGAAAGCATCTTGTCCGGGATCTGTGGCTAGTGGGAACCTCAGCGTGTTATTTGTTTCTCGATTTCGGACTGCCCCTTGTGAAGGGACTTTTGAGGGTCTCGGTTCATGGTCTCTGCTGCTTCAGCTACTTGCGGTCCTTGGCTTTCGACACCTTCGGTGTCAGGGTTCTGTGTCTTCAGAGGTGTCAGGGTTCTGTGTTTTCACAGAATGCAGACGCAATCTCTGATGTTGCGTCGACCCGGCTTGCCATCATGAGCACATGGGCGGAGGTGCACCACAGTGTTTTGCCGGTGACATATTGTGCTTCTCCGGACTTAGGAGGATGCGGCAGTGGAGGTTGACATGGACACGTCACCGTCATCGCCGGTCTCGACTTTGGAGGCGAACGAGGTGAGCAATTGCTTCACGGGTAATCGTCGTCGTTTTGAGCTCATTTCCCGTTCGGAGTGCTTAATTAATGTTCAGCAAAGATCTGTAATCTTGCTTTCCAGGGTGGGTCTGTGCTTGCTTGCGGGACGTGTTTGCACTTTCTCGTCTTCTCGGTGTTGCACGGTTCGGAAAGCATTGCGGTCATGGACTTGAGAGTCTGGGCATCTTTTGGAGGCCAGTAGGTCACTAGGCAGCTTCTGGGAAGCCAAAGCCAAACCTAAAACAAAGCATCGAGGAGAGTGCCTTTAAGGGTGGTTTCGTGCCGTCCGAGCAGTTAGGAGGTGACGGTGTCTGAAGCCATGTCACAGCTGCAAGAGGACGTTGCCGTGGACACAGATGCCTCGGCATCGGCCTGGACTTTGGAGGAGACGAAACGATTGTCTCCTCCCGATCTGGCTTTTGTCTTGCTTTGTCTCCTATGGTCTCTTGATGCTGAGTATGGTTGAGTTCTGTTTACATTTCGAGCTTTGGACAGCCTTGGGCTGCATGTTGGCTCACAGCTTGCTGTTGCGGATCGTGGCGGGACCTGGTGGGCTGCACTGCACTCGGAGGAGCTCGAGCAACAAGCGAAAGATTTGGCATCGACCGAGGACAAGTGGTGCATGTAAGCAAGCCTTTCTCGAATAGCAAGTTGTGTGCACGATCCCCCGGCAGTCCTGCTGGCACCATTGTAGTGCGAGCTCTCCTTGCGACATCGCCTTCTCTTCACAGTGCCGTACACATGTTGAGGTCATCACAGTCTGTGCACAGTCACAGTCGCGTTCTACAATTCAATTGGTCTTGCGAGGGTGGTCCTGGAGTTGTCCCACGATGTGTCCCGGTCTTTCGTTGTTTTGGGGCGATGCCGGCATAGTATTACTGTTGCATGTGGTTGAGGTTCTGCTCTAGAATCTAGAAGTGTTCGCTAAAGGGGGGGGAGCACGTCGCACGAAGTACACACTGCGCCTGCAGGAGTTCGAGCAACGAGCGAAAGATTCGACATTGATCCAGGAAAGGCGGTGCATGCAAAGACCAGTTCTTGTCCAACGTTCTTGGCGGCAGATGTTTGGTGTCTTGTGCCCATTGTGCCCACAGCACTTCCAGTGTATTCGCAGCCAGCAACCAGCACTGTTTTGGGGGGATGCTGCCTGAGGAGAGTGTGACAAGAAGTTAGGCATGCCCGAAGCACAATGCATCAATGTGGACGATGCAGAACGCTTGTGGCTGAGTCCGTCTCCTGCCCGTCCCAAACGACCGTAGGAGGACATGGCCGTGGACACAGACGCATCAACTTCGGCCGCGACGGAGGCAGACGGATCATTCTTCTCCGCGTCTTGCCTGTGTCTCTGTGGAAGGGTCTCTTGATCTGGAGTACAAAGTCTGGT